CTGTGCAAAATATGCAAATTACTACTTTTTCCAGTTAATATTTGACTGTAGTGTCAAACAGAGTAGACTGGTCAAATAAAAATCTTGTGTTATTATTTCCCTGAAAAATTTGCTTATTTTAATTTTGTGTCAGACTAGACTATGAAAAGCCCATATATATTTGCTTGACATACCCAAAAGTATGTCAAGCTGCTTTTTTAAATGGTATGAAAATTCCTGAGTCTGAATGATTAAAATCTATTTTGCACATAACTTTCCATTTTTTCCCTTTGCAGGGTAACTTTGAAACTCTTTTTGATACTTGAGAGAATTAACTCAGTCGAAAAACTTTAAAATAATTGTTCAAGGATTTTGTGTTTCTTCTTTGTCTGCAGACATATGATGTAGAAGCAAACTTGCTACTGTAGTTTTGAAAAAGGTTTCATAAAGCCATGCCAGCAGTTCTGATATATGGATTTCATGTGCCCTAAGTTCTATTTGACATTGCAAATTGTCTGATATAGGTCTGAAATTGTAGATCAATGATTTCCTATCTTAATTAATCATTCCTTTTTTATGTGTTGATTTCAAGATCGCACCATATAATAAATAATTCAACTACATTCATTGTAGTTAGTTCTGCACCATCCAGGTCTGCCTATGGGTCTACTTTGTCTCCCTTGTATCACGGAAACAAAAATTTTCACGGAGTGTCATTTGTACGCTCCGTTTATAAGGCAGATACACCCTGTTGTCAATGGATATGGACACTTCAATGTAGTAGCGTGTAGCTACAGTGCCGATCGTGATCCAGGGAGGCCACAACCAGCAGCAGGGAAAACAGACAAGTCTCTGTTGTTTAGCACAAGCGTCCATTTCATTCCCCCACCGGCCCCCCGTGCCAGGGGGAGCAGGGAGCAGAGGCCTGGGAGCCCGAGCAAAGCCCAGAGAGCCCAGAGAGCCTGAGAGCAGAGGGGAGAGACCAGGGCCATGTGATTTTATCAGGTGTCCCATGGGAGGAGTTGAAAAATCAAGTTACAACCTCCTCAGAATGGGAAGGCTGCACAATTCCTCTGTTTATAAATAGGTTAAAACAAAGGGATGCTTGGGAATATGACTTAATGGTTTACAAAACTAAAATTAACATTATTAAGCTGAATTAACAGTAACAGAAAAGCATTTGAGACTTAATTATAGAGAATAAAATAACAAAAATTATGATACTGAATTAAATTAATATATTTTTGCTTAGTGGGTTAATAGTTCATTCTCCTTTGGCTTTTATCTTCTCACCAGAACGGGTGCTGTTCTTGGTCTCTTCTTTCACGAGGGGCACAGTCCTTCGTGTTTGATCTCAGCTTTGGTACTGGTCTTGTAGGTGTTTCTGTGCTGGATTCTGATGATGATGAGTGTGAGGCAAGGAAGGGTGAAAGCAGCAGTGGGCCAGCTTGCAGCACACGGCTCTGCCCTTTCCGAGGCTGCCCCGCGTGTCCCGCAGGCTCAGCGGGGCCGGGCCCGCTCAGGGCTCGCCAGCCCCGCCTGCCCTCACGCAGCCCCGGGCCCGGCCCGGAGCCGCTGCAGCCGCGGCAGGAAGGGGAAGGCGGGTGAGGGGGAAGGGCAGGCACGGGGTTGGAAAAGAAGGACGAAGCGAGAAAGAGGAGATCTCAAAACCGCATAGTCGCACCAATTTGAGAAGGAGCACCTGGGACAGCGTGGCCAGTGCCTTCCCAGGCAGGGAACGGCGGATATGGAAAGAGACGGGGGTGAAAGAGGACACGGGGCGGCGAGAGGACGGCAGCACTTCCACTTCAGCTCTGGAGGTTTCCCTCCTTCAGAGAAAGGGAGGATGGGGTGGCAGACAGGCAGAAAGTGACGGAGAAGACAGTAGCAACTCTGAGCGATTGTGGCCTTTTCACTCTTTGCCGCGCTTTTAGGAAAAAAAAAGGTAAGGAAAGGCACAGGCAGCTTCACAGAAACTGAAGAACATGGGCTTCACAGGACAACAGATGTAGGGCATTGACATGCTGCATACAATTGTCCATAATCGTCTATAGGTACCCTCCAGGGATTTATTGTTCATAAGCTGCAGCAGATGTCAGGAAATTTGACAAGAGTCTGTCTAATGGTCCTTTTGTAGGTAGAGTAGCAGCTTGTAATTCTTAAAAACTCCCTCTCCTGAGAAAACCATTCGTAAGTGTCCCCTGAGTGATGGTAGATGTTAGTCCCATCGCTCAGTACCAGTAAGCTGCTGGGGAATTCCCATCCCCATAAGCTTTTTACCTTTTTACCTTGGAAGATGGGGATCTCTGAGGGTGACTCACAGGGATGCCAGTCAAGGTCCTCAGTGGTTGCCCACATTCTCCACCATTTGTAGCAGTGTGTGGCTACAGTGATGATCGTGATCTAGGGAGGCCACTACCAGCAGCAGGAAAAACAGACGAGACAAGTCTCTCTTGTTTAGCAGGAGAGTCCATTTTACTTCAACATATTTCAGTGTGAATTGTTTTGATGGGTCAAAATCTGGTTATTTTCAGTATGGAAAATAATGGAAATCTGTCAAGCTTGTGTGTGTGTAAATACATTCTCCTTTTGGACACAGAGGGTTGTGCGTGGTTCACAATTCAGAACTGATAAACGTGTCCATTTTAAACTTGGGCTTTTTTATACATGTAATTGTTGCATAAGTTTATGCAGCTGTGTGAAGTTCAGACACAGTGTCAGCATAGAATATGATTTGCAAGCATCAGGAAATAGAGGCAAAACAAAAATAGCAAAGGCCTCCAGCAATTAGAGTACTTAAATCCTGCTGGGTATGAATTCTGAGTATCATGATAGCACCTCTCTTAGGAAAGAGGATGTTATCCATGAATTTGAGAAGTGTGTTGATCTTTCTGTAACATAAGGCTTCAAACTCTGAAGATTCATATCTTTTGTCTTTTGGGCAATTAAGGAGGTATGCCCTCTGAAGAGTCCGGTTCGGAACAGGAGGATATATACCTTACATTTGTGATTCTAATTACTATATAGACAGCTGTTTGGCCCCTACTGTTCCTCATTATGATGTTCCAGTATGGCTATTCTTTGGACATGCCAGATGTTCAATCTGACCTTGCCCTGGACAAAAAAATGATCATGTGCTGGAGTCTATATGCTTTCTTTGCCTGGTCTGGTCCCACTGCTCTTCTTGGGGAGTATATAACAGGGGCTGTCATGCAGAGGGCTGTTGTTGCAGTCCAGAGCAGTCTGAAGCACATCTACCTCATACTATTTAAGTTCTATTATATAAGTGGGTCAAATCATGGGTCAAACTAAGAGCTTGCCTTGATTCATTATGCTACAGAGGTATATTGTGAATTCTTATTAAAATTTTCTCAGTTCTGGTCTGTTTACAAATCATAGCTGAGACCTCCTCAGACCAAGGAGAATGGAAGATGTTCTTGGGCATTTGCTTATGAGAGGTGGTAGGAAAGGTGGGGATTGTATTGATAATGTGTGATGACGCACACTCTTGGAATTTATTACTTTTTACCCCTGTCCTTGGTGCTGGCTTGCCTAGTATAGGAGTTGACAATGAAGCGCTCTAGCTTAAAGCAAAATATTTTGGTGGAAGATGTATTAAATATTGGGAAGAAATTCCTAACTATGCGGGTGGTGAGGCACTGAAACACATGACCCAGAGCTGGGGCCGACCCAACATCCCCTTTGTGGATGACCTATCCCTGCAAATGTTTAAGACCAGGCTGAATGGAACTCTGAGTAACTTGGTCTAGTGGAAGGTGTCTTTGCCCACAGCAGAGGGGCTGGAACTAGATGATCCTTAAGGTCCCTTTCAGCCCAAAACATCCTATGATATAGCCATTATATTCCTTCCCTATGTGAAACACTTCTTACTCAAAAACATTTTTATCCTGAGTATTTTCAAAGCAAAGGCACAGAATGCTAGGATTTACATTCAGTAGTGGATTATCAGCACAAGATTGAAAACAAACCTTTTTGATTTAAAATCCATTTAGTTTTTACAATAGTGTAGGAGATACGCACTGTGAAACCCAGCCATGTGCTATTGCCTGGCTAGGATTTGCACAGGGATTTACTAATCAATGTCTTCTACTGACATAAGGAAATGGAAGAACTGCTGCATTTTCTTTTGGGAACTGAGGCTGTGAGTGTTTTAACTTAATTTGTCAACTTCTGTGGTTGTGCTGAAATATCGAGTCCTTTGGCTTGGAGGCAACAGAAACTCTAGAAGTTACTACATAGCACTGTGGTGGAGTTTCACAAAAATACCCTTGGGATATATGTTACCTAACAAAACAATTTGCAATTTTCATCAATCTATTTATCTTACTTATTTATTTAGTAAGTTTAAATTGCAATCCCAAACCTCTTGTTCCACAACCACTAACTTTACAGTGTAGTGAATATTCATAATTCTCTTGATTTCAGTTTTCCAGAAAGAAATGAAAGATATCAAGCTAGGTTTAGGTTGCTACCCTCTCAATTTTTTCTGTAGGTAAAATGGACAACAGAAGTCATATTTTCCAAGTGTTTTCCTCTTATGATGGACAGATGTGACTTGTAATAGATAGGTAAATTTGCAGATGCTTTAGGATTTGTACTTCACCTAATTGTTGAAAGTTCTCTTCTGCCCTTAACTGTTGTGCAAGGTTATGTGTTTTTCCAATGGTAATTGAAATTAGACAGAAATTCAATTTTGAGTTATATTTATTTACCTTTTCTGTATTAAACCAAGACTTCTGGGAAAATTTTAGGATTTTTGGAAAGTTCTAAGTGCTTTCCAGCTCTAAATAAGGTCAAACATGTTCAGAGTAGTCTCTCCTGATTTGTTTTCTAATTTTTGCTATTGGTAGCTGCTGAACAAAAAATGTGAAAATACCTAAACAAGGCAGACAAAAGTTAATGTAATTCTTCTAAGCATAAGGTTACGTCCTCTGCAGTTCAGGGTTTTGGCAAAATTTCAGAATGTTTTGCTTGAACTGTCACATATATCAGAAGTTAGAGTTAGCTTGGCAAGAGAATAAAGTGTTCACCATACCTAGATAGGAAAGTGCATGAATTTCATAACAAATAATTGAAAAAATGAGGTTGCACTTCTTAAGCAGCATGACTCTATAGTCAACACAGCTGAAATCATATTAAATCTCATAGAATTCTCACACTGTTAATCAGATTATTATTGTATGAATAATGTGTTCTATGAACCCAATATAGGAATGCATGGACCTGATTTCTTCCCTGAGAAACAGCGATTTGATTGTTGTTGTGGCGTGCTTACTGAAAAAAAAGTAAAGGTAAGAAAAAAATTCAGTCTGTATATTAATAGGATATCTTACATCTTATTTAATTTTATATCTATATATATAAAACCAAAAATATATAATATATATATTATCCTATATATATAGGAGATATATATATAGGATATATATATATATATCCTATATATTATAATTGTTTTGTAGGCTGTATTTTTAGGATGAAAACTGCAGTTCCTCACAAATTTTGTAACCTTAATTTGACATAAAAATTACATTTTTTTAAAGAAGAAAAATCCTTCCTACAGGCCTTGTTCAGAGGGCCATGACAGAAGATGGATACATTCTGCCACTCATCATATTACTTACAAGAAATATGGTAGGACAAATGAGTTTGAGGTCAGAAATCATAATAAGTAAAATTGATAACCCTGTCTAAAATATATATAAAAAATCAATTGGCAGAAAACTTGCTATATGATGTCAGAAGAGCCCTTTATCTCATCAGGCAGCTGTGGAGAAAGTAGGTGGTGTGAAGAACTTGGACTGGTTGCCATCCACAGTCTCTGAAAAAAAAATTGCAAAAAAACCCAAACAAGGCAAAGAAAAGTTCTCTTTCTGATTTCTCAGTGTAGATTTCAATGATTATAAAAGTTAGGATGTTATAAATTATTTCATATATAAGGATTTGAGTATTTTCAAGTCTCTGAAAACATCTTCCCTAAGAAACAACCGTAACTGGTGAAGTTTCTTGTGGCTTTCTTTCTTTAAGCTTTAGGATAAATTTAACTCAAGTGTACTATGATTGCAAGAGTAGCTTATGCTTTATTAAATATCTGATATTTCATGTGGAAGAATGGAGGAGAGGATTATAAAAATGAGAGGAGTTATGAATATCCTGTGGACAAAGAGCTTCAATGTGCATTGCTGCTTTATAAGATGCTAGAGTCTCCACAGTGAGGAATGCTGCCAGCATGAGCTCATCTTGGATACATATCCCCTCGTGTATGATAAATGGCATAAACTCACTAAAGACTTTGCCACAGTCAAGGAATATGCAGCATTGCTCTCTGCTCTGAATTCTCCTGTGGCTAATGCTAGCTGAGCTCCTGATATGATCTTCAGTCATATTGACCAGAGTGCCAGCCTGACATGAGGTACAAACTCTTTGCAGATCAGGTAACACTCTTTGTGGTGCTCTCTTGGGTGTATTATTTGATGCTGAAAAAGACTAAAACCCATTCTGTAGTCTTTTCCTTGATGTCAACAATATAATATTTGTGCCTTTCTTTTCTAGTTTCCAATTTTCATGAAATTTACAGGGAGAATACTTGAGAGTTCTGCTTCACAAATTTGATCTGAAATTAGCTTCTGGATTGAAAATTCATGGGGAGGAGAGAGTTAACAGAAAGATACAGCGTGATTGCCTAAATTTAGGAAATTACGCTAGTATTCTTCCCTCTTCTTTCTCTTCAAGTGGAAAATGAGGGATTTGGGAGGACCTGGAATTATGACTGTAGTGTTTAGCTTTACAGCACCTCAGAAGAAAAAAGACAAAATGTTCTCTGTCTCCTTTTCCTAAAACATGATGGAAAGCACATCTGAAGAGTGTCCTTTGGTTGGCATAAATAGCTAGTTTAAGTTATTGAGAGACTATTTATTGTCACATCAAATGAGTCAGTAATTACATATTGTTTCACACAGTACCTTGAATTTTGCTTGGGAATGAAAGAAAATTATGTTTGACATTTACACTATGCTCCTAGAAAGGCATAACATGCAACTAGTTTAATTTAAAAAACTGAATTTCTGTCACTGCAGAAAAAGCAAAGTCATCCAAAGTTGCCATTTTAATTTTTCCTTTCCTAACCTACACATGTAAGGACCTTTTTCAAATTATTTAATTCTTGTGGTTAATTATATGTGTTTGCTTGAGCATAAATAACTATTCCATTTCAATATAGGTAAGACTAGGAAAATGTCTTAAAACTGATGGAAAATGTTTTCACTTCCAACTGAACCTCTGTGCAGTTCATGCTGGTAAACAATAATTTGATTTGGAAATTGCCCCAAACAGGCATATATTTTTGTACTTATATATGAAAGAACTTTTTTTGCTTTGACCTGTTTAGGTGTCTTGAGGAATAAGATATTGAATATGTATTGTAAATTCTGTCTCCAAGCTCAAAAAGTCTTCTGGGCTGGTGAAGTTCAGACTCTGTTTTGTAAGCTGCCTTGACTGAATGGAAAAGGAATTTGCACTGGCATCTAGTCAGATGTTGTCGATCTATTGATTCTTAAACCCCCAAAAGAAATATAGCTAGAAAAAAAGCTTTTGTGAATGTCTTTAAAAGATTGTATAAATAAGAACAAGAATTGGTGTTTGCAGTGGTGGCTTGGAAGTGCCCTCTGTAGAAGAAAAGTGGTTTGGTACCGACAGTTCCTTGGAGGTTTGAAAATCACAGCAGGGATAGAATAATGAAATCCAGAATGTGAGATAAATTCATAGACATTCCAGATATGGTGTAAATAAAAATGAGTCATTGCTTTTATGTTCAGGAGTCACAGGTCTTGTGGCTGCCTTTGAACCAATGACGTAGAGGTGGAAGTGTTTTCCATTTCATCACTGTGTTCCATCTGGTTATTGTCTTTCAATCACTTCTTTATTACAGATTATATCTTTTATGTCATAATATTTACAGTATTGTGGACAATCTTCCATTTATCTCCTCATTTCCATCTGGTTTCTCCTGTCCCACAAAATGTATACAGGAAAAGCAATTTGACTGGGAGGACACACAAGCCTTTCCATAACAATGTAACATGGTATCTGATGAAAAAATTTACTGCTAGAATTTTGACTGCACGTGTAATTGAACTTCTGAAATAAAATCTCACGGTTAGGACTCATCTCCTTTCGCATAAGTGGCACACCTGAGTGTTTACATAGTATTTCTAGTAACATGGTAGATGGAAACATTGTTCACAGTGTTGATGGTGTTTTGTTTCAAACTCTAGTAGAAAAAGCAGGATAAAGTTCATATAGACTTACAGACTTTTGTTGTTTTAGCTGAAATTTTTTACTAAAAATAAAACAATCAGAGGCTGCTGATATTGTTATTTTTGCTGTTATCTTGAACCAGTGAGAACTAATAGTATCTTATTACACTTTCTTTACAATGAGTTTCATTGTTAAAACATTCAGTGAAACTGATCAGTCTATACTGCTTGGAACTGCACATTTCCAAGCTTTATATAGAGTATAATTTTTAGCTGTGTTGTTTATTCTGACTCTGCAGCCTGGAAGTACTGTAGTTACCTAGCTTCCATTGTGCAAAGGAATGATTGCATATATTTGACCCTCTCTTCTAAGTAGAGTGCAGAAGTGTAACTTTAATAAATTAAATTATTTAGCAGCAACACATAAATTTTTCTATTTTGCATGAGATTTGTAGTAGTAGCAGTTAGCCCTTGACTGTTACTTATAGCAATTGATGATAATTAAATATTATATTTACTGTACTCAGCAATATATTTAGTTTTATATTTATGGATCACCTCTTTCTCTGGAAATATGAGGTTTCTGTGATTAAAATTAATAAATACTCATCACAGATGCTTGGTAAATTATAAGTTTTTTTTTTTTTTTGAAACATAAGGAAAATGAATGCTTTATATTGGGTAGTAGCAAACAGATCTGATCTTGAAATGCTGAGAATCAAATTTTGATGAGAAGCTGTGACATAAGAGCTAAGAGGAGCTGTGTGTGCCTTAGATCTGTTTCTCCTCCAAATGAAGCATTTGGGAAACCTTTACCCAAATACTTGAGTGAAGCATTTGGGAAACCTTTACCCAAATACTTGAGTGAATTCACTTGAGTGAATCAGAGAGTTTTGATAAGTTTATTTCTGAGTATGGCGTTTTGATTACAGTCCGATGGGGTATGAGGCTGATCCAGTTGGACTGCCACTGCAAAATGGCCCATTTTCTCTCTTTAGATTTCCAAAGCATGCATTTCTTTGTGGACTTCCTGCCAGACTGTGTTCATTACTATATCAGGACATGAATGTGATCTCTTTGGTCACCCTGTGGTGGTTGAAATTGACTGGACACTAGGTGCCTAACAAAGTCACCCTGTCACTCCCCTCTCAAGTGGAAGGGGAGAGAAACAACAATGAATGGCTTGAAGGTCAAGATAAGGGTAGGGAGATAAATTACCAATTACAATCATGGGCAAACCAAACTTGATTTAGGGAAAATAAATTTAATTTATTACCAATCAAATCACAGTAGGATCATGGGGAAAAAATAAGTAGAATGTTAAAAAACCTTCTCCACACACCTTCTTTTGTCACAGGCTCAAGTTCACGCTTAAATTCTCTATCTCTTCCCACAGCGGCACAGGTGGATGAAGAATGGAAACTGGATACAGTTCAGCACACATTTGTCTCTGCTGTGCCTTCCTGCCCACACTGTTCCTCTCCTCCAATGTGAGGTCCCTCCCACAGGAAACAATCATCCAGGAGCTCCTCCAACAAGAGCCCTCCCCACAGGCTGCCATTCTTCATGACCTGCTCCAGCAGACATCCATCCAGTGGGGTTCAGTCACTCAGGAACAGCCTGTTCCTGTGTGAGTCTCCATGGGGGTCACAAGTTCTGCCAGGAAATCCACTCCAGTGTGGTCCATCTCTTCACAGGGCCACAGCCGCTGCCAGGATCTTGTTTCAGCACAGACTTCTCACATGGTCACAGCTTTCTTTGGGCACATCTAACCCTTCCCTGTGGAGCTGTGAGGTCCTCCACAGGCTGCAGGCAGATATCTGCTCTCCCATGGATCTCCATCAGCTGAAGATAGACAACCTGCCTACCATGGTCTTCAACATGGGCTGCAGGGGAATCTGCTCTGGCACATGGAGCACCTCCCGCCTGTCCTTCTCCACTCACTTAGGTGTCTGGTGAGCTTCTCCAACACACTCTCAATCCTCACTTCCAGGTGCTACTGCACAGCAGATTTAACCTGTTCTTAAAAAGTTATCCTCAAACACTGCCACTGTTACTTATGGCTTGGCTTTGGCCTTGGTGGTCAGTGTGTCTACCTTGGTGCCATCTGTCAGTGACTCTATTAGACATGGGGCAAACTTCTGTCAGCTTCTCATAGAAACCACCTTTGTAGCCCCTCCACTACCAAAAACTTACTCTCTTCAATCCTGATTCCCAGTGTCCAAGTAGTCCAGAAAGTGGCAAGGCTATGACAAAAAGATGTGGCTCTCCTGTTTTTATGACCAGAGATATTTTGTAGCCTAGTCTTTTGGCTTTTTGGTTGTCTATGTCCAATGAATTTGAATTTTGGAATGGAAATTTTTAGATGAAACTTTGCTTTATGTATATATTGTAGCATACAACTAAGAAAACTGCTTGTACAATCAAAATTACTTGCCTCCTGTTGGAGCTAAGAATGAAATCAGGAAAGGGATTGCAAATATGGATGCAAGGTTCTTCAGCAGTTACTTTATATGCATGAATGATTTGCACAGAGGACTGGATACTGACCCAAATTTAATTTCTGGTCAAGAGGCAATTTAAATGTGCAGTCCTGGCAATGCTGCAGACTGCAGCAAATCAAAGCACAATCCATTCTTTGTGCCATACACCAGTCAATAATGTCAGTACACCTGACAAAAACTATAACCAAAATGTAAAGGCTGTATCTAAAACTATTGTTATGTGTGTTATGGATAATCCATGCCTACAAAGAGAAATATATATGAAATATGTTATGTTGGCGAAAAATATACTTGTAAGTTTTTAAGCACATGAGACAGAGTCAGGGGATTGTCTCACATATGTGGAAACCACTGTTGACAAAAGGGAGGAGGATTTCATTTGCAAACAAATAAACATAGCTGCCCCAGATGGGTCATTCCCCAAGGTGATCTGAGGAACTCCCAAGTGATTATAGACTCGATAAATATCTAAGACTGAGATAGCTGGAGCCATCGGAAAGATACATCTCAATGCCAATTTCCAGTAACTCAGTCATGGACAGACATCGCTCTCCGGACACTGTTTTGTTCAGCTCTGTGGATAAGAGAAACTCCATGAATATGTGGGACTCTGAAAGGAAGAAAAGCTTGATCACCAAGAACTCTGCCTCAGGCAGAATAAACGGTATAAAAACTGCTTGAACGGGACGGTCGGTGTGAACATAGGAGACCCTGTGCTGTAGTGGTTGGACCGGTGTCTCACCCAGCCCCGATCCTGGGCTCGGCACTGTCCTTTTCACTGTGGCTGTCTTCGACCAAATCTTGATTGCTAAATAAAAATTTATTTTTATTTATTAATAATTTGGCTGGATCATTTTAACCTATAACACTATTAAGCTTTGTATCTGTCCTCTGTGATTTGCTGTATTGTGATTGACAATGCCTTAATTAATTATGGTTTTAAAATTTTTTTTTTCTCTGTTTTTTACTTTAGAAATACAGGGTCATGTAAAAAAAGAAAGGGAGCCTTTCCCTTAAAAATTATTTAATCTGTTCAGAAATAGAATGTTTGGGAGGATGCACTGTTGCACTGGATGCAACAGGCAAAAACAAATGAAAAAGTTACACCAGGAATTAATAGCCTGTGACTGAAACACAGAGCTGGAGAAACAACCAAATGTTTCAAGAGCAGGTAGTCAGGCTGTAAGAGAGGTAGGACAAATGCAGGCATTGTGCACAACTTGGTACAGTATGAAGTGACTGAGCTGGAAAAAGGAACTCTTCCATGTCTTGTTATCTTTCACATAGTTAATCTTCCTAATTTTTATTCAAATAAATAATTGCTTTTTGGCTCTGAAACCCTTCACCCTCTTGGGAGGCTCATTTAAGACCATGGCTAGGCACATCTGCCTCAAAGATCTGACTTAACATATATTGCTAGAAAAAAAGATTAGAACTTTACAGTTCTGCTGTTATTTTGTTCCATGGTTGTTGTGTTTTGCAATCCAGTTATTGATTTGTAAAGCTGAGAAATGATGGTGTGTTACAGGATTAATTTGTTGCATGTCTGCTATTTTCTGGAGACACAGATTTATTAACTCTCTACTATTCTTGCTGATAAGTAGCTGGAAAAACCTGTAGCAGACATAAACACAAACTGTTTAAACTGTGACAAGATGGCTGTTTTGGTGTGTGCCCCTTCTTGACTTTCTTTCTTATATTTCCAGTATACTTCTTGTACTTGAATTTTTGACTAGCCACTGGTGGATGTTAGCTATCTTGCCTGTATTGACATCTGGAAAAAGAAGAAATTAAGAGACTCAGACTTGGCACCAGGCCAAATTATCTGCAGTTTGGCTTTTCAACAGAAAAATCAGTATACAAACAACATCCCTTCAATTTTGCCAATGTCAATTACTGAAAAATCAAAACATGTTTATTTTAAATTTTAAAGAGGAAAATTAATTTTGTTAGTAAACAAGGTTGGAGGGAATTAGGGTTTGGTATTGAATGTGAAGCTGGCCTCCCATGCATTACAGTGTAAGTCTAAGTTTTGCTACCAACTTGTCCCTAAACTCCACTGAAAGCTGAAGTAATAAAGCAAAGTTATCATTTGAAATTTAGTGACACGACTTCAAAGAATTGAAGAGGGAGAGCAGGAGGAACAAGAGCAGCTGCTTCTGCCTTATGAGATTGTTCTCGAGAGGAAGGTTTTTCTGTAGTGATCTGCACAGTGGAACAGATGCGAATTGTAGCAAGGGCATTAGAAGTTATTATAGGGACAGGGTTGAAAAATTTGCTGGGACTCAGCCTTCTGTATAATATTTGCATTTTCTTTTTCCCAGAGCCCTTAGATACTTGGGAGTCTCTAATCTAAGAGGGGATTAGTGAACTCAGCTCCATTAATTTTTGGAAAATGTTGTCTTTTCTTTCTGTCTTTATCTAGTAATAGTGATGTAATAGTTGCAATCATTAAGCAATATCTGTATGCCACAATGTATGATATTCATCCAAATTGCATCCAACTCCTCTCAAGCTGGCTTGAACACTGGTCCCAAAATAGTCCCACTAATTCAGTCCTTTATTCGAGCTAGTCTGTGTTTTGGGTCTACTATTCCCTTGTTAGTGCAGCTGTTGTGCCTTTGGCGGCTGTAGAGGACCAGGTCTAAACATGTTTTGTCTCAAACTGTTGGGACAGGAAAGATGTGATTGGAAGGGAGAGCCCTGCAGAGGTGGCTCGGTGTTCTGAACTAACTTCCTTCTCTGCCTTGAGACTTGTGTTCAGTCACTCTCACCTTCCCGCTCACCTCCTGGAGAAGAGCTGACTGTGGATCTGTAAACAAAAGAGCACAAAAAGTCTATTTTACAAAAGAGACATACACCAGGTAAAGTATAAAGGGACACAGTTTGCACCTGCCCCTTCACTCTCTCCTCTTTCTCTTTTGTTTTCTTTGTCTTGCAACACCAGCTCTGGACCATCCATGTAGCCATACCAATATGAGATCTAAGGACTGGTGATAATCTTTGTTTTCTTAGCTTACTTTGCCTGGTCAAAGCACAGCTATCCTATTCTACCCCAGATTGTGTTTTGAAGCCTGTTTTGGAAGGAGATAATTTATAAAGAAGTTTGTGGCTTATAAGCCTGCACCTTTGAGAATTTTGCTGTGGGAGCAGAGAACTTATTGAAGTGTACTGTGCAAGATTAAGTGCTTGTTAGCCAACACCTTTTGTAGCAGTGTATTGTAAGAATTTCACAGCGTCTTAGTCAAAACCTTTTGAATCTAGGTAAGCTGGCTGGTTTCTGGAGTTAAGACTAATATCCATTAGCCTAAGAGTTCCCTTGACGTGTGATCAAGAGTCTTTGTTCAACCTGACAAGAATTTATAATGAACATCATGCCCTATACCAATGGGGCGTGACACTATTGGCACTACATCATTCACTATGGATATTCAGACCATGATATTGGTGCGTTCTTCCAGTTTGATGTCTTTCTTGTTATAAAGTAAATCTTCTAAATTAAGACTTATGTCTCCTTCATGCTTCACATTTTTTTCTCTTGCACAAAATCCCAGAATCACAGGATGGAAGGGATCACTGGGGTTATCTGGTCCAACTTTGCTCAAGCAGGGTTATCCCAGAGCATGTGGCACAAGATTGTGTTCAGACAATTCTGGAATATTCACAGTGAGGAATTTCCTCTCTGACCAATCTGTTCAAGTGCTCAGTCACCTGCAAAGGCAAGAAGCTCTTCCTTATGTTCAGGTGGAGATTCCTGTTGCTTCTTATCCTATTGCTGGCAACACTGAGCAGAGCCTGGCTCCATTCTCTTGACACCTTTCTTTCAGATACTTCCTGACATTTATGAGGTTTTTTCCTCTCAATGCTGAACAGGCCTAAATCTCTCACCTTTCCCTAATAAAAGAGATTCTTCAGTTCCCTAATCACCTTCCTCTCTCTCCACTGGACCCACACCAGGAGCTGCATGTCTCTCTTGCTCTGAGGAGCCCAGAACTGGATGCAGCACTCCAGATGTGCCCTTATCAGATCTGAGTAGTGGGACAGGATTGTGTCTGTTGAACTGCTGCCAATGCTCTTCCTAGTGTCCCCCAGAATGCCACTGGTTTTCTTGGCCACAAGGACACTCTGCTGGCTTATGGAGAGCTTGTTGTCCACCAGGACTCTCAGATCAGTCTCCATAGAGCTGTTTCCCAGGAGGTCAGTCCCAGCCTGTACTAGTGCCTGGGGTTATTCCTCCCATTTTTCTAGACTTTGCACTTGAAATTCAGATGGTTCGTCTCTTTCCATCTGTCCAGCTTGCCTTCTGGATGGCAGCACATACTGACCATCCTCCCAGTTGTGTTGCCAGTGAACTTGCTAGTGAGGCATCTGTCCCTTCATCCAAGTAATTGATCATTGTGCTAATTAATACTGAACTCGGTATTGAACCTTTAGGGCCACTACTAGAGACAGGTCTTCAGATAGACTGCCACTGATTATGACTCTTTGTCCTACCATTCAGCCAGCTCTCAAACCATTCAAAATACACCTACCCTGTTTGCATTTCCTGAGTTTTCCTTGGTGGAAGGAGTGAGAGACAGTATTGAAAGCCTTGCTGAAGTCAAGGCAGACAAAACTCACTTCTTTCCCCTTATCTAACCACGTAGGAGTCTCATTATGAAAGGCAATCAGGTTCGATAAGCATGTTTTCTGTTTAGTGAGTCCATGTTGACTTCTACTCATCACCTGCCTCTCATGTGGATAGATGGCCTCCAGAATGAGGTGCACCATCAAATTTCCAGGGATTGAGGTGAGGCTGATGGGGCAATAGGTCCTCCTTCTTGCTCTTTTTAATGACTGAGGTGACATTTGATTTCCTGCAATCCTCAGTCACCTCTCCTGATCACCAGCATCTTTCAAAGACAACCATGAGTAGCCCAGTTTGGTATCCATCATCAGGGTCCATGGACTTGTGGATGCCTGGTTTGCCTGACTCCAGCCCAGTCCTCCTTGCCGAAGGGAAGGTCTTTCTGCCACCTTTTTGCCTCCCTAGTCTCCCAGTCTGGGAATTCCTGAGGTCTGGTCTTGTCAGTGATGATTGATGCAAAGAAGTTCAGTAACTCTGCCTTCTCTGCATCCTCCATTACCAGGGTACCCCCTTTATTTAATACAGTCCCCCATTTTCCTTAGTTTTTCTTTTGTTATTGAAGTTCATAATCTTTCTGGACAGCTGGTAGGACTTTGTTGCACCTTTTTTTCCTATTCTTATGCATTTTACCAAGCACAGAAAGTCCAGTCATGGCAATCCTTCTTTCTACCGTCTACATTTTTTCCTCTGGAGTCATAGCCACTGTCTGTTGTCATTATTGTTGCCACAGCTCATTCCCTTGAGATCTGCATAGAGATATGTAAAGGTTAGATATGTTTCTTTGATAATAGTCTTCTTTCCATAAAGTTTGTGTTTTGCATTGCTTTTACTTTCTAAACACCAAAGTAGAGAGGTGAAAGATTATACTCATAAAATTTGTCCACTATGTTTCAGACGGTCTTCATTGTAGAAGCATATAACTCTGGAACAAAGTAGTTATATTTACGTAAGAATTGCAGTAAAGGAATTCTGCATTAGGTCCTGGTTCAAATCTTCATGCAATTGGATAGACTCTTCTGCTAGTCCTAAATCCTAAACTCATGATAGTGAGCCGGAGTTCAGTATTGCTTCTAATAATAATGCTGGTCCCAGAATTAGTGGTCTTCCTCATGACTGAACTTTTGAACTTTACTACTTTGCGCATGTGCATTTGGTCCTTTGGTGTTTATCTGAGTATGTCTGTCAGTCTTAATGGGCTTGGAGACAGAGG